TGCTGTGAGCTATGAAGCCACAGCACTCTACCCAGGGGGACAGCTTGAGGCTCTGTCTCAAAAAAAAAAAAAAAGAAAGAAAAAGAAAGGGGAGTGTAAATATCAACTACAATGCAAGCCAATCACCACCAAGTCATCACTCTGTAAATTAGGAATCTAGTAAATCCCCAGCCATATAGAATCCCAAGTAGATGAATCTTTTTGGACTTTCCAAATAACTGGAAGTTTATCCAAGATCATAATTTACTCTTTTCTAGGTGTCTCCAGTTTATTGTTATCAACATCTATTACCGCACTGTGCCTACAAAGGCAATTGAGGTAGTTAGAGTTATCTGCTCTTAACATAAATGGCCTCAGACTGTTTTGATTTGGGGATTCTTTTCCCTTCTTTATCATTTCTATGTGTCCTTCCTCTCTGTCAGATCTACATGAATCACTTTATGGTCACTGAAGTCCCCTGAAATCAAAGTTTAGAACACTTCATAATAAATTGAGACTTCTAATCCAACATAAAATCGGAGTCCAGATATCCAAACCTGTTAGCATGTTACATTCCGTAAGGGCAAATAGACTCTCCATAGAATTCTATGGTGCTTTCCTATTGAGTAAAAGCATGGACAATGTGGCATCTACTTTGAGTACTGGAATTTTTTTTTTCTCTTCTATCCTGGTTTTACATTTGTTTTAGACAGATAGTATATTCATTTTTAGAGGCAAGGTTTATATGTATATTTCAAAATCACAATACAATGAAAATTTCCACATATGTATAACCATTGATTTAAAGACCAAAGCAATTGCTATTTTCTTTTTTCTTTATTTCTACCAATACTGATAAACGTACAAATTCCACTAAACTTCAGTCTGGCTCAAATGGTTTCACTGATTAATTCTATCAAATCTTTGAAGAAGAAATAAATACCAATTCTACACAAACTTTTCAAGAAAATAGAGGTGGAGATATTTATAAACTCATTCTATGAGGCCAATATTGTCATGATACCAAAATCAGATAAAGATATCATCAGAAAAATATAAGGCAACATCCCTCATGAATGCAGAAAGAAAAATCCTCAACAAATACTAGTAAATTCAATCCAGTAACATCCAAAAAAAGATTACACACTGTGACTGAGTGGTATTTATCCAAGGATTATAAGGTCAGTTCAACATAGGAAAAGTAATTAATGTAATACACTATATTAAGAGAAAAAATGGGAAAAAACCCCACCAATTATCATCTAGATCAGTGGTTCTCAACCTTCCTAATACCGTGATGTATTTTCATTGTTACAAAGGTGTAGCAGCCTGTATAGCTTATGGCTAGGAGGAGTCAGAGTTATAGGAAACACCTGTAATGGAACACCTTGGTGAAAAGGGCATGGAGAGAGATTTCGTTCTAACAAGCATGAGAGAGATCGCGAGATGAGAGCAGTGGTGAATTGGCAGTCTCTACACCTGTGGTGCTGAGAGGCACGAGTTCAGCCTTATATTAGGCTGGAGGAGCAGGCAGTGGGGGGAGCATGCGCATTCTGTCACGGACAGGCTTGCTCTGACTCTGTCTCCTCTCCTGCCTGCAGGACGCCAGCAGGGCGTCTCTCTGCTGAAGATTACCAAGCTCTGCTAAAGACTGAGATCTATCTGTTCTAAGAAGACTGCTTTACTCTCTCTAAGTTACTGTGTCTCTCTCTCGCTCTCTCGCTCTCTCTCGCTAAAGTAGATAGCCCTCAAGTACCTAAGCGAAACTGTTCCTGAGCAAGGCAGCTTAGCGGTCTGCGTGGGGAACCTGCCTAAGCTGGGCCCTGACAAGGGCCACTGACAAAGTGGTGCTGTGAGCAGGATTCAGTGAATGCGGACCGAGAGGGAAATGAGCTTTAGCAAAATAAGAAAAAGAAGAGAAATAGAAATACTTAGAGGGAAAAGAAATATCTAAGATAGCTGACAAGAAGCCTTTCTCATTCGGTTTTTCCTCTTTCCTACGTTTTCTCTTTCCAAATTCTAACTACTACTTCTGTGGGGGGAAAAAAGCTGGTAAAATCCTTCAGCCTTTTCTGTGAGGCGGCTGGAGGGGAAAAAAAGCAGGAAAAAACCTTTAGACAAGGGGGAAAGAGAAGATAGAACTAGGAGATAAGAACCTTTAGTAAATAAGCCTTTTGCCTGGGGGGGGGTGAGAAAAACCTTCGGTAAAACAGCAAAGTTTGGGAATAGGTTGTAAGAGTTTATTAAGTTAGGGAGGAGAACTTCTAACTGCCTTCCCCATATGTCTTCGCCCAATGCCAGCAGGAAGCAGCTTTTGAGACCGACGCCCGAATCCCCTTTTTTGGCAGTTAAGTGTTCTGTTTAAAATAAAGGAATTGAGGTAGATTGAGGCTTGTGAAGAAGTGGTGGAAGTAAAGTTTTGTTAAACTAAGATTCCAGAGCAAAAAAAAAAAAAAATAGTTAAAGAGCTCCTATCTCTTTAAGGCAGCCAAAGGTTCTAAGAATTGAAAAGGAAAGATTGTAAAAAGTAACAGGCTGAGAGAAAAAAAAAAGCCAGTAGAGAAAAATGATGGCAAATGAGATACAGCAGTTGAAATACAGGTGAGACATCAGATGAATCTTATAGAAGCAGATAAATGCTACATTGACATTACAACTCAAATTGGGCAGCTAGAAGATCAGAGGGTAAAATCCCCCAGTTAACATCAAATGCCATAAATGTGGGAAGCCAGGCCATAAGAGAAAAGTTTAAAAGGGAAAACAACATTGAATGCTAAAGAAAAGGAACAAAGAGCATGTGCCTAGAAAGAAAAGGGCTGGATAACAGGAACTGCCCTTACCACATCAAAAATTGTTTGTATATAAAAAAGGAGGGGAAATGTAGCAGCCTGTATAGCTTATGGCTAGGAGGAGTGAGTTATAGGAAACACCTGTAATGGAACACATTGGTGAAAAGGGCATGGAGAGATTTCGTTCTAACAAGCATGAGAGAGATCGCGAGATGAGAGCAATGGTGAATTGGCAGTCTCTACACCTGTGGTGCTGAGAGGCACGAGCTCAGCCTTATATTAGGCTGGAGGAGCAGGCAGTCGGGAGCATGCGCATTCTGTCACGGACAGGCTTGCTCTGACTCTGTCTCCTCTCCTGCCTGCAGGACGCCGGCAGGGCGTCTCTCTGCTGAAGATTACCAAGCTCTGCTAAAGACTGAGATCTATCTGTTCTAAGAAGACTGCTTTACTCTCTCTAAGTTACTGTGTCTCTCTCTCGCTCTCTCGCTCTCTCTCGCTAAAGTAGATAGCCCTCAAGTACCTAAGCGAAACTGTTCCTGAGCAAGGCAGCTTAGCGGTCTGCGTGGGGAACCTACCTAAGCTGGGCCCTGACAAGGGCCACTGACAAAGTGGTGCTGTGAGCAGGATTCAGTGAATGCGGACCGAGAGGGAAATGAGCTTTAGCAAACAAGAAAAAAAGAAATAGAAATATTTAGAGGGAAAAGAAATATCTAAGACAGCTGACAACAGGCCTTTCTCATTTGCTTTTTTCCTCTTTCCTATGTTTTCTCTTTCCAAATTCTAACTACTACTTCTGTGGGGGGAAAAAAGCTGGTAAAATCCTTTAGCCTCTTCTGTGAAGCGGCTGAAGAAAAAAAAGCCTTTAGGCAAGAGGGAAAGAGAAAAGAGATAAAAACCTTTAGTAAACAAGCCTTTTAGCCTCAGGGGTGAGAAAAACTTTGGTAAAACAGCAAAGAGAAAAGTTTGGAACTAGGTTGCAAGAGTTTATTAAGTTAAGGAGAAGAACTTCTAACTGCCTTCCCACATATCTTCGCCCTATGCCAGCAGGAAGCAGCTTTTGAGAGACCGACGCCCGATTCCCTTTTTGGCAGTTAAGAGCTCTGTTTAAAAAAATTGAGGGCTCGGCACCTGTGGCTCAAGCGGCTAAGGCGCCAGCCACATACACCTAAGGTGGCGGGTTCGAATCCAACCCAGGCATGCCAAACAACGATGGCTGCAACCAAAAAAGCCAGGCGTTGTGG